CCAAACACTCCACTCACACTGCAGCTCTTGACCTCTGACGTCCAAAGAGAGATTTCCATGTTGGTTTAAAGAGTGTTGTAGGGTCAAGTGTGAGCTCTCTCATGACTCATTTAGGGCATGACCTTTATAACCTTTGACCTTGAGGTTATTAACTATGCGAGCTGTCCAAGGGCTTTTGCTATACAGTTGCTAAGGTGTTCAGAGTGTTTTTAGCATGTTGCTATGCGGTTGCTAGGGTATTATGGTTGTTTGTTAGCAACGGTTCAAGGTTTGGCTGGATAGCATGGTCTAGTTAGCACCTGCTGGTAGATCCTGTTACTACACCCTTTTGGGACAATAAGAATTGTTCTTCATTGACAGCTGAAACCTGTTTAAAAATGTTTGCATGCATAGTGCTGCCAAACGATTAATCGCGATTAATCGCATACAAAAAGTTTTTGTTTGCATAATATATGTGTGTGTTCTGTGTATATTTATTATGTATATATAAATACACACAAATACAGTATATATTTTGAAAATATTTACATGTCTAAATTTATATTCATATAATTTATATTATAAATAAATATATTTAAAGGTGACATATCATGAAAATCTGACTTTTCCAGGTTTTAAGTATATATCAGGTCTATAATCAGGTCTCTGGTGCATCTACCAGCCAAGGAAACGTGAAAAAGATTAACCCAGCAACTGTTTTGGGAAGCCTTTTTCTGCAAGCGTCTGAGAAAATGAGCGCGTCTGATTTTGCTCCCTTTGTGATGTTGCAAAGGGATCTCATTATAATATTACTGCCTCTTAATCTGTAAGTTTCCACCTACGGCGCAGTCATTTTGATTTCGCAAGCGACAACGGTGTACCAGTTCTAATGCCATGGCCAAAGTTTGAGCAAAACATGCTAACTGTTCTGTCTTTGGCTGCACTGACGAGCACAGAACACTATTTACAGTCCCAGCCTGTTTTTAGCAGGTACGAGTTGTAATGGCGCAGCTCTATTCTGGAAAAGGGGGTGGGGAGCAGCAGCTAATTTGCATTTAAAGAGGCAGGCACGAAAAACAGCGTGTTTCTGCTTCCACTCAAAATATGCATTTTCAAAATGATATAATAAATAATCTGTGGGGTATTTTGAACTAAAATTTCACAGACGCATTCTGGAGACACCAGAGACTTATATTACATATTGTAAAAATGGGCATAATATGTCTCCTTTAATATATAAACATAACATATTTTTCTGAAATATATACATGCATGTGTGTGTATTTATATATACATAATAAATATACACAGCACACAAACATATATTATGTAAGCAAAAACTTTTATTTTGGATGCGATTAATCGCGATTAATCGTTTGACAGCACTAATATATATATATATATCATATAAAAAATGATTTAAATCTTTTTTTAATAAATATATTACTTAATATTAAGATTAATATTTTGGTTTTGCTTTTCTTTGTTTTTTTTTGGTTTTACGTTGTTTTGTTTCTGGTTGTGTGTTTTTTGTTTGGTTTGGTTTTGCAGTGCTTTGTTTCTGTTTTTTTTATTTTGGTTTGGTTTGGTTTATATGTGTTGAGAGTGGTGGTTAGTTTCTGAGGGTGTGCAGTGTTTTGTTTGTCATCTGGCAATTAAAAAACATGATTGCTGAGTCTGATTGCTTAGAAAGGCAATAGCACACCTCTCCTCAGCAACAATGGGTTACACACCAAAGCTGGCTTTGGTCAAATATCCCCCCCACCCTTCTGTTTCACATTCCTCCCTTTCTGTCATTTATTCACTTTAGTCTTAGTCCCTTTTTCACATTCCTTATCCCCCCCCCACCCCTTTTTCCTCTCTCCTGTCTTTGACCTTAACCTATAATTGAAGGCAGAAACTCCTTTCCCTCCTAGATATCCAGAGAGAAACAAGAAAGAAGGAAATTAAATTATTCAGCATCATGCAGAATAGAATTAGACAGCTCTACTTTTAAAATAAGAGATATTTGTTTCTTTCTTCCTCTTTTATCATCTTCTCTTCCTGTATTTATTTTCATTTATATATTGTGAAGCAGCAGTTATTCAGAACGTGGCAGGAGGGCGAGACAGAGAGTGAGCAGCTCACCTCGACTGTACGGCTCCCTGTGGAGAATGCATGCGTGAGAAACAGACGTGAAGCTTTGTAAAGTCGAGTGCTGTGCTTGACCAGCAGCAAAACTTAAAGAGGTTCCCTCTGAGGGCAGGAGCGGAAGGAGAGGAGAGGATGGACACACAGGAAGTGAACCTAATGACTAGTTTGAGTGTGGAGGTGATGAACAGGTAGTCATTCCCCTGATGACTTACAGACCCTATGAAAACTGCATAATGAGAAAGTTCTTTCCTGTGTTGATGTATTTCCTTTTGAAATAGGAAGTTTTAGTAGGACATAACATCCTCGTCTGTTTTTGTTTTTTATTCTTTTTTTTTAAATAAATGGAATTAAGTTATGTTACAGCCATGCACCATGATTTGCTACTTGCTAGTTAGTTGCAGGTTGTATTGGGGGAGAGACATTGTCATTCAGGAGACATTTGATTGGAGAAAAAAACAGTGTAGTGAAGGATAAATTTGCTGTAAAGCTAACACACATGGACTAAAAACTACAAAACTCCAATCCTGCATATATACTGTGACTCTACAAAGATGACTCCATCTTTCATGTTAGGGTGTATTTAAATGAGTGCTCTGTTAATGGCAAGATTCTTCATATCTTCATATCATATTCTTCCACATCTGCACAAGTACTCATCATTCTCGGTAATAACTCAATTTGTTAGTAAGGTTTCTGTCTTTCGGGGAAGCCAGCATTCTCTGTGCCTACCTCCCAGGGTCATGTTAAGGTCATTGTGTATTACATCACTGTTACCATAACTCTTGAAGGCCCAGAGGCACTGTGAACTCCCAGTGTGCTCTCTACTCTAGAAATAAATACACACATCAATCATGCTCATGTAGTGTATTTGGGTGGATGACAAATAATGTGTCTGTGAACCTGTTTTTTTTCAGCATCAGTTTTTCAGTTTTTTTTTCTTTCCCAGTTTGTTTATGACTGTGTATTATATTATCATTGCTGTAACTGGGCAAATTATCACAATTATTTCATGTAGTCTTACTATTAATATGAAGACTATAGAAATACTCTTGAAATGTAAAAATGTAACATTTCTGTAAAGACATTAATATATAATGTATACACACACACACACACACTTTTTTATTTCTCAGTTTTTTTCTTTTTGAGGGAGCTGTTATAAAAATATTGACAGACGACATTTGGCTCTTGGGTTATTTTTATTTAGAGCAAAAATTCACAAACCAGCATAAAAACATCAATCTGTCTGTCTCGATCTTAAATAAAAAAAATAATGTGTCTATGAACTTTTTTTTTTCAGCATCAGTTTTTCAGGGTTTTTTTTTTTTTTAAGGTTTTTTTTTTCAGTTTGTTTATGACTGTGTATATGTATTATATTATCATTGCTTTGACTGGACAAATTATCACCATTATATCATGTAGTCTTACAAGTAATATGAAGACTACAAATCTTGAAATTTAAAAATGTTACATTTCTGTAAAAAGATTAATATATAGTTTGTTTATATTGATTTAACGTTTTAAATCTATTAATTTTAATAAAATTGGTAGCTCATGCAAATATGAGTCTGCTCAGCAGTGTCTGTAAAATTGTATGCATTTTTTCCCCTTATCCAGTACCAGTAATGACAAACACCTGCAAAGCTCATGGAAAACCCCTGATCCAAAAGTGTGGTGACCCTAAATTATAAAAGATTTAGAAAAATGCTCTTTAAAAATAGTTTTCGATGAAAACTGCAGGGCACTGTTGGTGTCAACTGCCCATTTACACACATACTGTATACACTTTTCTTTTTGATTTAACTACTCATACTGACACTCTGGAAAAGGAAACACAGAAAGGGGAGGCAAATATCAGTAGTTTCTCACCAGGTGAATTACATCAGCTCTAAGTGCTATATAATCCACTCTCACTTATGTAAACCTTTTATCAAAAGAACAGAATTTTATGGATTCCAAGGGGAGGCCACACACACGAACTCCTCCGTATGCACTGATTTACAACACTAACATCCAGATAGTGAAATCAAGCAAGAGTTTACTTCCCAGAGGAGAAAAGTCTACTCCTATGGAGGCTCATGTGGATCCTGTGTGTTTGGGTCCACTGTGGAAATTATAAATCAGGGGTTAGTGGGCATTTGTGCTTGTGTGTGTGTATAACCACATGAGGCAGTAAAGATTTAAAGGTATTCTGTCAGACTGTCTGTCGCTGATGATCTGGTAGCTTAAGTGAGCTAATCCAGTTTTGGGAATATGAGGTAATTGAGCATTTTTTTCCACGTGCGGATTTCAATTTGGCATGGGAGTTGCTTATGAGTTATGGGCATGATTCAGAATTGAGATGTATAAGCACAAGCTCCCGACTGCTCATGTGTCCACTGTGCCAGCGCACTTTCAGTAGGGTCTGCGGGGTCTCCAGGCTCCTCTGCAGTTCTGGAAAATTTTCCAATGCCTTGTGCAAAAAGTATTGACACGACGCAAAAAAAAAAAAAAAACCTTCTGTTTCTTCTCAAATCCATATTCTGTTTTCAAACACATTTCTGTTTTCTCATCAAATGTGTCTTTTTCTTCTTCAGAGAAGTCCATGACCTGGAAAATGTAGTAGTGGTTACAGGAATACAGTAGTTCACCCTAAAATGAGAAAAAGAAGAAGAAGAAAAAAAGAGTAGTCATTTGGGTTGGGAACAACAGAATATTTGTCATTTGGGTTGGGAACAAAATGATGACAGAATATTCTTTATTTTTGGGTGAACTATCCCTTTAAGACTTTATACTTTAATCTCCTGTTCAGTTTCTGACGTTAACCTGACCCCTGGTGATTCATAATGGAATAACACCCTTTTGTTTTTCTGTTTTTCTTTCTGTTCTCCACTTTCTCTTGCCTGCAGATCACGATTCAGAAGCAAAGAGAGTTCAGGATGTTCTCTCGGGAATGGAAAAACCACAGGTGGGTCTGGAATATGAGTTAAGAACCTCCCAAGTGAAAAATACTAATGGTTTAATGTTATCAGATAAACATGATGTCCTATATTGGCCAAAGGAAAGTACAGGCTGCAAATGTAAGCACACATAAAAACAACTTGACATGATTAATTGTTTTAATATGTCATAAGAAGGACATTTGGTAAAAGTCACAGCAATCATTTCAGATTTGTTTACAATTTCAAACTATTCCCATTGCAGCCACAGAGTGGCAGCATTTTATTTTGTTTTTATGGTCCACTGTCAAGTAGTGGTTGACTGGATGAACATTTCCATCAAAACAATGTTTTCTGACCAATATGTTTTGCTCCGTTCTTTTCCCATCTGTTCACTAAGCCTGCTGCTCTGCCTGTTGTTCAGTTCAGGAGTAGCCTATCTAAGGACACCCTGTCACTTCAAGTGATAATCCATAAGTGAAACCAACCCATAGTCAACAATCATCTTTTCTGTTTTGAGTTTTAATTTGCATGTATTTGTTTGTTTGTGATTTGAGCAGCTGTCCCATTTATATTAATCCCTCATTATCATAACATTAGTGACATTAAAGGAGTCCTATTATGCTTTTTTCACTTTTTCAACTTTGGTTAGTCTGTAATGTTGCTGTTTGAGAAAAAAGATCTGCAAAGTTACAAAGCTCAAAGTCCACTTCAAAAGGAGATATTTTATTTAACAGAAATCAAATTTTCTGAAATTTTTCGAACAACCTAGTATGAGAGCCTGTTCTAGTACACCCCCAAAACAAAATCAAGACTTTGTAAAAGAGCATAATAGGACCCCTTTAAGGCAGTAAAGAAGTAGGTTAGTGGCATGATGGAAAATAAGCGTGTTAACACTGCAAATAAAACAAATAGTCTAGACTGACAGAAATTATATTTTTATTATATTTAATAATGACAAAAATTTAATTCAGGCATCTGTTTCCCTGTGTCTGTCTGTCTGTATATTACATTATAGGAAAACTTAACATTTGACATTGAGTAGTAGCAGTACTTTCTACAATACATTGCCTCTACTACTATACAGTGTTTATAGTACATTGAAAATGCCATTATATACAATTTAAATAAATGCTGTTTTTTTTTTTACTTTTTACCCAGTTTCCACAAAAATATAAGTTTTTTTTAACATTGATAATAGTAAGAATTGTTTCTTGAGCAGCAAATCAGCATATTAGAATGATTTCTGATGGATCATGTGACACTGAAATCTGGAGTAATGATGCTGAAAAATGTTTAAAACTTCGCCGTCACAGGAATAAATTGAATTTGAAAATATATTAAGATAGTAAAGTTATTTTAAATTGCAATAATATTTCTGTTTTGTTTTATTTTATTAAAAATTTTTTATCAAATCAATGCTACATTTGTGAGCACATCTTTCATACATTTAAAAATCATACTGACCCCAAACTTTTGAATGCTAGTGTACTGTATACATGCAAAATAAAAATAAAAAAAATACCAGCCATTCCATTAATGGGAGAAAATATGTGGTAAAATGCAGGAGCACAGAAGAAATATTTACCATGATGGATGCATGAAGCTGAAAAGCGTCTGTGGCTTAATGTGTCTCAAGATGAGACATTCTGGTGGGCTGTGAGGGATTGGAAGTAATGGACTTCAATTTGCCCTCATCCTCATCTCTGCAAAAGCCTGTAATGGAGCTGCCTTACTGGTTCAGTTTCTTCATGAACTTGAATTTAGCTGGTGTAGCTCTTCCAGCAAATCACAAAACAGAAATTCACTGGATACTACAGACTCGGTCCAATTCCTTTGTATGTCTGATGTTCAGTGGCAGGTGTTGTTCCTAACATCACAAGTTCTCTACCACTTCATGCACTCCAACTTCTCATATAGTTGATGCAGTTCAGGATTGATTCATGATCTAAAGAAATAAAGCAAGATTGTATTTATGACAGCTTTTACAAATATAAGCAGATGCAATCATAATTTACAACTTGTGAACTGAACAGTAGGTGGTACTGTCACCAAACATGTTACCCTAAGGCAGGGCAGGGCAACTTCGGTCCTGGAGGGAGTGTTCGGTCCTGTTTGATGAGTGTTGGAGCTAAACTCTGCAGGACAGTGACCCTCCAGGACTGAAGTTGTCCAGCCCTGCCCTAAGGGCTTCTAAGGTCATATACTAAATTTAATTTCAATGTGTCAAAGCTTTGTCAAGACACAGCATAACTTCCTGTTTTAGTTTACATAAAAAAATAAAAATGTTTTGCTATACATAGATGCATGCATACACACACTACCTGAATGACCTGTACAATTTTTACCTATACCATTTGTTTTTCTATGTCATACTATTCTGTACCATATTTTTTCTATATATAACTTTCTATACCAAAAAAATAAAAAAGTATCATGGTATCCACAAAATATTAAACAGCACAACTGTTTTCAGTATTGATAATAATAAGAAATGTCTCCTGAGCAGCAAATCAGCATATTAGAATGATTTCTGAAAGATCATGTGACACTGAAGACTGGAGTAATGATGCTGAAAATTCAGCTTTGTCATCACAAGAATAATTTACATTTTAAAAATATTCATATAGGAAAGTTATTTTAAACGGTAATAATATTTCACAATATTGCTGTATTTACAGTATATTTGATCAAATAAATGCAGCTTTGGTGTGCTTAAGTGGCGTCTTTCAAAAACATAAAAAATCTTTCCAACCCAAAACTCTCTCTGAGCTTTTCACTTTGGTGAAAGTGTTAAAGTGTCTCTGTGAGAAAGCCGGCTCTGATGGCAGCCGGTTTATTGAGAACATATTGCTGTAGCTTCAGAAGTGCCAGTGGCAATGCTAGCTGTGCACAGCCGAGAGGCAGCAACCATAGCTTATCCACAGACATACTTTCACCTGCAGTTACTCTTGCCTCAGGACAGATTGTGTTTGAGAGCTGTTTGGTTTTAGCCTTAGATTGCTTCTGCCTGACTGAAGCTAGCGTGAGGCACCTGCAGCTCATTCATGTCAGCGTTATACCCTCATACACCGTGTTACGTTGAATTACCTGTTAACACAGGAGTTATAGCTGCTCTGCCTCTTTCCATTTATAACTTCAGTTGTGTGTTTGACACATAAATAGCTGGCCTTGCAGAGGTATAAAGCTGTGCAGATTGTAGGCCTAAAACTGAGATGCGAGTTAACGTTAGCCTGTGGTAAAAAGTCAGTAGTTAAAAAACATAAATTACACACAGTCACCCTAAACATTTTTAAAAACAAAGACATTTAAGTAATTTCTTACCTGACACAGGGGACATAGCTTTTTCTCTTGTTTATTGATCCATATTTCTTTGTAGGCTACTCCTTTTTATCTGCAGGTCTATAATCCTGGTAGATTTTGCAATTGAATGGTTTTAAAGCTGGGTTAGCTGTATGTTAACCCTCTGGGGTCCGAGGGTGTTTTGGGGCCCTGGAAAAGTTTTGACATGCCCTGACATTTGTGCTTTTTTCAGTTGCTTACAAACATTTTAATGTCTAAAGTTTAATAACACTGTAATCAGCACAAACTGGGCTACAATAATATGTGAGCAGCATGTATGTACGTGATTGTGTTTTTGAGAAAACAACGTTTATCCGTGCTTAGTGAAAAACGACAATTTTAAAGTCACTGAAATAAGGCCATAAAGCACATACAGAACATTTGTTCATAACGAATGACAATCCCACAAACTGTCTTCAAAAGGACCGTCTCCTTGCAATTTTTGTCTTAAATTGGATTTGGCTGGTTTACTGAAGCTCTTTGCAGCAACCATCTGAAAGCTCCATTTGAGAAAATCACAGTGTTTCTGGATTGTTTTTAAAATGTCATTCACTTTTGTTGAATTCAGAGTCTTGGATTATAATAGTGATTTGTTTGTCCTGCACATTTGTGTGGTAGTGGTTGACTTAAAGTAGTTTTGTATAGTGGCATGTTCTGCATTATGATCATATTACTTGAGATAAAAATTAAATATTTGTACTTTTAAAAAATATTATGTAAAAAAGTTTACGCTTCGTAATGTTGTTTCAGGTTTTTGATGCTGTTTCTTCTATGTTTATCAACAGGTTTTTAATATCCAGGCCCGGACAGCGCGACTGACCTGGGCTCCACCAGCAGGCCTCCAGAACAGAGACGGGCACAGTAACGGACACCCGTTAACCTGCAGCTACGAGGTCACTCTCTCAGACAAGGGTCGTAACGGCCAGTACTGCGTCATCTATAGGTAAGAGTATAATCACAGAGGAGCTGTGTCGTCCGCTCAGGATCCTTGAGAAGTCTTTATGTTCTCATAAATTAACAGCGTTCACCACAAGGGAGCAAGTTAGACATGAATATATCATCCATTGAGCAGAAAGAATCATTGGATGCAGCTTGTTCTCCCATCAGGACGTGTATGATTCAATATCCAGAGAGCAGACAGGAAAGATAATCAGACCCCTAACACCCTGTCATCACCGCTTTGAAGCATGAGTCTTGAAGCATGACTCAAAGTTCAAAGCTTCAGACTTAAAATAAGAAACAGTGGTGCTGGTGAAATTTTACTTTATATTATCATGGTAAATGGTAAAGTGATATTCTGGGTTGATATTTTATCTATAAAAAACATCTTATTGACCCCAAACTTTAGAACTATAATATAATTGAATATCATAATTAACATATTTTTAATATTAAAGCAATTAATAACATATTTTATATACATATGGAATTTGTATTTGTGCATAAATAAATTTTTCCTGTTTTCTGCACTGCTGTTGTGGATGTTTAATATGGTTTTAACTTGCATATTAAAATCATTTGCTGTTTCCATGGAGGCTTATGTAACAGAATTGTTTCCAATTTAATTGGGACGCACTACTCGTGCTGCGTTTAAAATTGGTTTGTGCATTGCCTTTCAATTTGATCTCACGGTTTTCCTTTTGTTGTTTTCCACACTCAAAAAGAAAATGACAGCACATAATCTAAAAGAATGGGGCGATTTTGGAGTTGCATCAATGCAGCCTCCAACAAAATCACACCACAAGGAAAAATGGTTGCTGGAAACCCTAAAATCTATTAAAGGGGTCATATGACGTTGCTAAAAAAGAACATTATTTTGTGTATTTGGTGTAATGAAATGTGTTTATGCGGTTTAAGGTTAAAAAAACACATTATTTTCCACATACTGTACATTATTGTTTCTCCTCTATCCCCCGCCTTTCTGAAACGCGTATTCTTTAAATATAAAAACCGTACTTACATTCTGTGAGTCAGAACAGCCGGCATTGTAGTCTACTCTCCCAGGAAACAGTCCTCGTCCTCCGTAAAATGCGTTGCACACATCTGAATATTTGGGTTGAACTGTTCTGGAACAGTGTTGTAAATACAACTTAACCACTGATTTCTAGTCGCGTCCTCTTTTGGAAGACCAAACAAAGTAGTTTCGCTTTCACAACGAATCACAAAGCGTCTCCACGACATGGCGGCAGTGGCAACAATACTACAGCAAGAATCAAAGTTACACCTTTCTTTGCGTGAAAATTTGGGCGGTGTTATGCAAATCTTCCCAGCAAAAACAATCACAGTTTTTCCCTTGAGCAGTTGTGCTCAATAACTCTTCACCAATCACAACATTTCAACATCTCTTATGAAAGTCAATTCTGTGCTTTGAACACCACAGCTCTATTGCTGGCATCCATTAAGGTCAGTAACCATCATGTATGTGTGTCCTTTCAGTGGAGAGGAGTTGGAATGCAATTTAAAAGATCTCAGACCAGCAACAGACTACCATGTAAGGTAAGTGTAGCTGTCAACTTTATTTCTTGCAATCTGCCATGTGCAAGAACATGTGCTTCAAGTAGCTCAACTGTTACTGTAATCAGAGCCCGAAATTCACGTTATTTCGGATGATCAGTATTTTTATTACAGTGATCTAATTATCTGCAGTTTTCTTTTTTTACATAATCAAAGTTCATGTTAAAGGAATATTTGTCATCATTTCTAACTTCCACATTTCTTTAATGACCTCAGCTCTCTCTAATGGTCTGCCTGTTACCTGTGATTAATTGAGCCGAATAGCGCTGGAAAGGTCAAGATTAAATATGATGCATGTACTGTTCCTCAAAGAACCTTTCAAGCCCACATTTGATATAATCTGTGCCGCCGCGAATAGGCGCTGTTAGTCTATTCTGTCATCGGGAGCTCTTATTAGTGGAGAATCCAGTGCTGGAGGTCGGTTTGCCTGGATCCTCATTAAAACGCATTGAAATTGTCGGCTGAGTTTTCTGTCGACCTTTGACCCCTGGCAACAGTTGAACTAGTAACTAAATATATGTTCTGATTAAGCGATGGTGGGAGACACTCCGTCTCTGCAGGTAGATGTGACCCTGAATGCACTTTTTGTCCCTAAGAGTTATTATTTTTTGCTCTTTATAAATCCGAGCAACCTGTTGGGAAATGTCATGGGGGTCTAGATGATTTTTGTCCCACCTTTTCCAGCACCGAAATAAGCAATGAGTGTAGTGTAGTTTTAGCTCATCTTTTTTTTAAAGCAATTTCCCAGCATTGTAAAAGCAATGTGCACAGCTGTGCTTTTGTTCCTGTAACTCAAATGGTGCTAGAAGTGCTAAGGTCATGAGTTCAGTTAGTGATAAAATGCACCTTGAATGCACTATTAGTTTCTCCCTAAAGCAATCTTCTGTGGAACACACAAAAGTGTTTCCCGCCCCTCACTGTTTCTGCTATATATGCAGTATAGTTGACTTTGAATGAACTATGCCTACTAAATTTATGTGTGTTTGTCTTTCTCAGAGTGAACGCAGTGTGCAATTCTGTGAAGGGTTTGTGCTCTGAGGTGGGGGCTTTCACCACCCACAGCAGTACCCCAGACTGCCCGCTGCCCCCTAAACTATCCCACCGCACAAAGAGCACGCTCACCCTGCAGTGGAAGGTGAGACCACTGTTTATCACATACTAGTATGGAAGTTAAAGCCATAGCCAGATAGTTTCCCAGGCATCAGATATCAGATATCAATTCTTCACTGAAAGTACATTTTAGCTATAAGTTTGTGAAGTTTTATTAAAGATGAGAACTTCTTGCAAATCTAATGAGCCTGATAGATTTAAAGGAAATGTTTCATCTTTCTTACTAAAGTATTAAAGAGATCAAGTAAGAGAGTCCACCCAAAAATGAAGATTGTCATCATTTACTGATCTTCATGTTTTTCCTCAAACCTATATTACTTTCTTTCTTTTTGTGGAACATAAAAGGGGGAGAAGAAAAAAATCACGCTACCCTTTTCTATGCAGTGACCGTGAATGGTGACCAGGGGCCTCAAAAAATGCAGAAAGCATCATAAAATAGTCTATATGACTCGTGCACTAAATTTTAGTCTCTTATGCTCACCAAGGCTGCACTTATTTGCTCAAAAATACAGTATTACTGTGAAATACTATTACAACTGCAACTATTATAACTGCTTTGTATTTTATTATATTTTAAAATGTAATGTATTCCTGTGATGGCAATGCTAAATTTTCAGCATCATACTACAGTCTGCAGTGTCACATGATCCTTCATAAATCATTTCAATATGCTGATTTAGTGGTCAAGAAACATTTCTTATTGTTTTCTAATGTTGAATTAGAAAACAAGAAGACCAATGTGCATGTGAGTATATAGTATATAGCACACAAGACGTATGGACATGTTGATGGTCCGTTTTATAGTTCGACAGCCCCTAATCACTAATTACGTTCATTATACGACAAAGATAAACATGGACATTCTGCTTTCTCTTTATGTGTTCAACATAACAAAGAAAATCATATGGGTTTTGGAATGACAATGACAAGTCCGAGTAAAGTAGAGTTAAGTAGAGATTGTTCTTATTAAGATAGGGGTGTTCGATTCCAAGTTTTTCGGAGTCGACTCTGACTCTCGCCGTAGGAGTCAATAGAATCGACTCCTCGACTCCATTTACTTTGTCCAAACAGGCCACAATATTGCAGTTATTACAAAAAAAAAAATTTATCTCGACATAAAGCCTTAAATTTCCATTATTAAAACAACACACTTTTGGCATGACTGTCCAAATTGGGTAATGGCATTACCTTGAAATGTGTAGCCTGTTAACATCGTTACCTAACACTAACACGTCAGTGTCTGAATTCCTAATTTGTTTTTTTTAATATCTCTCCTCTCAGGCACCAGTCGATAATGGATCAAAAATCACCAGTTACCTTTTAGAGTGGGATGAGGTATTGCTATATATGTATCTGATTTTTTTTTTTGGGGGGGGTTCTCAAGAAAGACTTTATAAAGTTTTTCATTATTATTATTAAATTTCTTTTGACATTTTTAGTAAAAAAGGCCTTCTGGATGAACTGCATTTCAACATTTTGAACACTAATGATGTCTTTTTGACATCAGTCCTCTTCACATTCACTCTATTTAAAGTTTCATATCTGAGTGATGTCTCTGCATCCTTCACAGACCACAGCACACTGTTGCCACTCATACATTTCTCACTCATCTCAGCCATCATTACAGTGGTTTTAAGAAGCTGAATGGCTTCAGTGATTTAATGCAATGTAGTGACTGAAATCTATGTGTTAATCATCTACTTCATCTATTAGGGCAAAAAGAACAACCTTTTCAGAGAATGTTACTTCGGAAGCCAAAGGCACTACAAACTCACTCATCTGTGTCCAGCCATGGCCTTCACGTTTCGAGTGGCAGCACGCAACGACATAGGAATGAGGTATGACTGCCGAATCACATGCATAATCTTTTTCTAGGCTTACACAAAGTATTTACATGCTTCTACTACATGCTAAAACACATTAACCTTAATGTTACATACTGTTTAGCATGGATTGTGTGCAAGTTGGGATACAGCCAAATACTTAAACATTGTTTGACAACAATGCTATGAGGATTTGAAGGTAATGTGAGGATAACAAGGCTCTTTCTGTGGGTTGCTGTACAGGATGCATATAATTAAACCCTGTGTGTGATGACAAAATCCCATTATCCCTCTGTAATCTGATTGTATCACCAATCACCATCCCTCAAGTCTTAATGGAGGAGGAGAGCCATAAAGTCACCTTGATTCAGGAGAACAGATGGCCGCTGGAGTGCTCTGTCTTTCTCTTTCGCTCTTGCTCTCTTCTATTTCTCCGTTTCACCCCCTATATAGTTTTTTCACATGTAGAAAAATAATTATGCCAAAATAAAAATGGTAAAAAAATGTATATTGATATAATTAAATATTATTATTTATTATTATATAATTTCATTTAAAAAAGAGAAACAACTTGATTAAGAGGAAAAGCCAATTGACCCTCACACAAATCTACAGAATATATCTATAAAATATGTAATGGGCGGAAATGTAGTTGTTGAGGGAAGATGGTCATCACTCTGAATGCAGCTCCATCCCTCTTCTCCTCCATCTCCTGACATTAATACCAGAGACACATTCAGAGAGTGAAGCAATATGCTGAAATATGAGACTCCACCTCCAGCAAACCACCCTTTGCCCAGTCTGAAGAGGACATTTTTTATTACTTCCTTAACTGAAAGAATCTCATTTAACATCTCCTGTTTCCCAGTGGCAGTTATAGACACTCTCCTACACACAGTAAATACTGAGGGCTCTAGTAAACTTGTCACAACCAGTTAATTGGAAGAAACCAGATTTAAAGCCACCATCAAGAGGAGAGGAAAACTATTCAAATTCCTCAAATCAGCCTGGAAGTTGTACAACCTGCAAATGAACACAATTCTTGCAATGAGATGTTGAAACTTTTGCAAAGTTTATGCAAAACACATTTATATGTTCTTCCTTACGGATAACTAAAAAACACTATTCCTGGCCGTTTTATGGCTTCTTGTTTGTGTATTTATATGTTTGTGTGTGTGCGTATTTTTTATGTAATTCTGAATATTTTCTGTCTTCTTTTTTTTGTCAGTGGCTTTAGTCCTGAGGTGGTCTTCTACACGACTGGAAGTCTGCCCCACCTGCCCCACGCTCCTCGGCTAGTGCGCGCTGGCATCACATGGATCACGCTGGAGTGGAGCCGACCAGATGGCTGCACCGCAGAGGAACCCGTCACATACACGCTGGAGATCCAGGAGGAGAACATTGTATGTCATTTAGATGACAGTGTCATCAGTTATAACATGAAAACAACCTACTAGAATTCAACATACTTGAACCCAATGACGTTTGGTTGCTTTTGGAATTTAGACACTGGTCATTAATTAGGATGGGAATCATTTTTCAAAAAATACTTTTCATAATAAAATAATTTTCATAACATTCGACTCCAATTAGTGTTTGGACGTCTGCATTGTTCCACCAAGGCAACGAATAGTCAAATGTCTTTCTTTTGCATTCATATTGTACTTGATGTATTTGCAACACTCATGAGAATTACTATATATCAGTGTCATTTAAAACAAAAAAACATTTAAATGTTACTGAAAAATAGTAATATTTTGGTTTATTATACAGTTGCTGTGGAACCAGTTATTGATGGGTTACTCTCTTGAAAAAACTAAAAGAGTTGAAAATCGTGACGTGGAACCGTAATCAGAATAATAGGAAATAAGAAAATTCCTTACGATTCCCAGTGCTACTTGCTGTAGTGTTAATGATAACATAAGGTCACATAAGATGCTGTTTTATGGTCATTTTCTGCAGGGAACAGAGTTTCACCCAAAGTACACTGGAGAAAACTTGACATGTACTGTAGAGGGCCTGAAAAGAAGCACGCAGTATAAATTCAGGGTGAGTGAATCCATTTTTTTCGTCTTATAGATTAGAATATCACAAACTGTGTGCGAAATGTCATTATTGTGTGATTTACAGAGCTCATAAGATTATGCACCACTAGCTTATAATCTCAATGCATATAATTTAAATAAAAAAGAGTCCCTTGGTTATCCTGAGGGGCAAATCTAGATCACAACATGATTTGGGAATTTGGAGAGTATAGCACAAATGTGCGGAGCATACTGGGAACTATGGGCTACTTCACTGCTTAGGAAAAGCCAAGGACAAGATACAGAAGTATCACAAAAAGTTACAAACAGGCCTACAGTGAATTCACATTGGTTCAAAATCTGTGGATATACATCAGACATCAGATTTTCAATTTTATAGTTGACAGACAAATCTTGTCACACCTGGTTTTTAACTTATGTTTAATACTTGTTGATTTGTTGTGATCTGTGAGGTAGTACAGTAGATGGTTTGACACAAAAGGAAACTACAAAAACACATTAAAGACACTTGAGATTTGAAAGCTCACATTTGCCACATATGCAAATGTATTGTTATTGACATGCTCAAAAATAGAAATTTGTCTCTTTTGAAGAGAATAATGCTTTCTTTAAAGTGCTGGTCAAATATTAATTGCAAAGTGGTAGTGACCTCATTTTGTGGTCAAGCGTGGTGTAATAATTATTAGCCAGAAGTGTGCAGCGTTTAACACATGCTCTTCAAAGGCACAGAGTGTTTTGTTTACCTGTGTGGGTGAGTAACTGTACGTGCAGGAAGCGTGTTAGTGTTACAGGGACATCTGACAAATTAAGCCTAGTCATACATTGTTAATTACAGTGGCAACAAACTGCTTTAACCTCTCTCTGTGGTCCACTGACTCATACCACAGTTGTTTTTTATTATCATCACAGATATTTTCTTCTGTCACATTCATATAGTGAACTCTCCTATCCAATTATGAGTGAACTGCAGCCCACGTCAAGTGCTGCTGTAATGCAGTGAGTGGGTCTGGCTTAAGTGCTTTCATAATTAACTGTAATTCCTTTGAATGGTGCACACACCTCTTGGGTTTTTTGCATTTTTTTTAAGTGGAGGCGTCCATTAAAGTTGCAGGTGCAAATAATGGGAGTGTGTAAATGTGTTATGTCATTACCTCTGCATTTGTGACGGTTTGTTTGCGTACAGAAGCCCTTTATTAGGCTGTGTGTAAAGGTTTCTATTTTTGTTATAATCTTACGTTTTATATGCATGAAGATGAGTCTCTAGCGGTCAGATTTATGTATCATGCATGTCTTTTCCTTCCCAATTTACGACATTTGTAAATATATTTTTCATCAATATGTCAAATATTGCTATTGATCATAGACTTGGCATATGGAGGCTATATGTTCTCTTTTTCCTGGACATGTCCTGGCCGGGATTTCTAAATTACCTAAAATGTCCAGATTTTGTTTTCCTATTGACATGCTCTCTGCAGTCCTCATACGTTATATGTATGTGTATTTGCATTACTTTGACTGTTCTCTGTAGATCTCACCTTCTCGCACCTGACAATTCCTCGATTATGTACGATACCTGCATGCTATTGTTCAAACTACTTTTCAGTCATTACCTTAAGCAACTATGAAAACAGCAGGGAAAAAAGCCAAAACTTGGACATTTAGGCAATATAGAAATCCCAGCCAAGACAAATCTGGGATCAAGAGAACGTATGGTCACCATAACATAGGGATTTAAACAAAACCCATATGAATGAATGATATCTCAACATGCAATTCAACAAGAGTTACGCTAGTGGTGCTTTTCTAAGCAGACTTACAAAGTTCACCTGGTGGCAAAAAAAGAAAAAAAATTGATGTACAGAATTAAGCCTGTTCTGGGTTTAAACAATCATGTTTTTGTGTCTTGCAGCTCATAGCCTCGAACTTGGAGGGCAGGAGCAGTCCCAGTGAGGTGCTGGTGTGTAATACCAGTCCAGACAAACCTGGACCCCCCTCCAGACCCTGCATCAAGGGCCCTATCAGACCCTACAGCTTCAGTGTCAAATGGGGTATGGCTTTTTGTGCAGCTGAAATGTTCATTTTGAGTTGTGGTATTTGCTGAATTGGTTTCTGACTGTGAGGGAAATTGGAAATCTCATTTATGTTTGGGAAAAGATGCAGTCTGTTTTGCATTTGAGCTCGACCTTTTGAATCTTGGAAATCGAGAAGAAATATCTGCAAATGTAATATTAATATTAAAAATAAAGTTGTAAAGTTCGTATTTACAAACCTACATAAAATGTAATGTCCTATAGTGCTGGTACTGCTCTGTCTCTATCTGACGTGTGCGTCACACTACATCTCATCTTGATATCTTCTTTTGTGATGCGCCACTTTCCAATTCAGTTCCTTGTTTGCAAACACAAGTAGGACGGGTTCTGCAATTGTATTGTGTTCTCAGTGTGATAATTCCCTCTTTATTTCCCCATAGTAATGAACCAAACAGTTGATTTCTAACAGCTGCAATAAACTTCAAGGGCAAATGTCTAAAATGTAGTTTAGACTCTGAGAGTTTTTGCACAGTCAATGCAAAGGGAAACAACAGTTGTCAGGTCTAAATGCCTAAAGGGTGAAATCAAATTTCCCTTAATCTTTTGAATTTTGTTTATTAATACAATAAAAACATGCTGGAGATTTTAGTGCTTACGGTAGCAAATAAAATACTTAATTCTGGCTTAATAAATGTATATTAAACTGTAAATTACCAAATTACAACATGTTTTTGGCATAAACAACATAACTATATTCTATCTTCTTGTTTTCTTTTTATTCATTATAAAACCTTGCTACTTGTACTGCATTAGGCTAACCGAGACTTGTCACAGCACTTACATATTATTGTCCTTTTGTTGGTTTTGATTGCTTCTATTGTCCTCATTTGTAAGTTGCTTTGGATAAAAGCGCCTGCTAAATGACTAAATGTAAATGTAACTAACAATAAAAGTGGACCTCAGGAAGAAATTACATGAAAAATGTATGCTCTGACCCGTTTAATAGTTTTTATACTGCTTTATTTCTTTTGTACCCTTAAATAACAGCTAGTAGTTTAGCTGTTGTTCAAATACTTTTCAAAGGAACTATATGTATTGTATGGTAAACACATCCGTGTGTGTGTGTGTATTTCTAATATCCTGTCTGTATTGTCACGCTACAGATCCTCCACAAGACAACGGAGGTTCAGAAATCTTGAAATACCTCTTAGAGATTTCAGAAGGAAATTCTGATGGTATGTATTAATATATGCAACTCCGATATGTCACTTTGACACACTTTGTGTTGGTCGCCATCTGTCTGCATGTGTAAGTATATTTTTGTCCTTGGTTAATTACATCTAAATTTTATTTCAAAAGTATTTAGACATCAATCTTGTCTTTTTTTCTTTTTTTTTTCTTCACATGAACCCTTTCGTAAGAACATTGCAGTTCTGTGTCCTCACAGTCACTTCTGTCCTCTTTTCTTACACATACACGCCATTAGTGCTGTCAGAGCTTTTATTTCTCTAAAAGGAATTTCACAGAGACAAAAATACTTGAATACAAAATATAGCTCTTGAATGTTCAAAGTTACCTTTGTGATTTATCTGGCAATGAGTTCATTAAGCTGTGGGAACAGTTGCATAAATAACTGACTGACTCCCTGATATCTAGCGTGGCCAGCTGTTTGTCCTGTGAATGTTTAACTCTTTGAATTCTTGTATTCCGTAGCAAATCAGTGGGACATTGCCTACAGTGGGCCTGCCACAGAGTGTGAGTGTGAGGACTTGAAACCTGGCACGTTGTACAGACTGCGCACCTGCAGCATCAGCACGGGCGGCCACAGCCAGGTAACAGCTTACGTCACATCTGGCCAAATGTGATCCCAAAAGAAATGCATTCAGAAAGAATACAGAATTGTTTGCATACAGAAAAATGGCTCTGTAGTTGCAGGAATAATAAGTATGTGAATTGTAATTCTTAACTGTATTCTTAAATGCTTAACGCACAGACAATGATTCATTTTACAGTATTTATTGAACACACCATATAAACCTTCATAGTGCGGGGTGGAAAATGTATGGATTTAACAACTGGTTGAACCTCCTTTGGCGGCGGTAACCACCATTAACCTTTTCTAAATGTTATTGTGGATCAGATCTGCACAAAGTTCAGGAGGAATTTTCTAATTTTTTCAGTTCAGTTCATGTCCTTGAGGTATCGGGTGTAAGCAATAAAAAAAGAAAAAAAAAAATCAAAACATAACGTTAGGGTTATTTTCAGCAGCCATTTATCCAGTCTTTAGTGTCACATGATCCTTCAGAAATCATTCTAATATGCAGATTTTCTGCTAACTAAACTTTTCTTATTATTATCAATGTTAAAACGTATCAAAACGTAACAGCATTTATTTGAAATTGAAGTGCTTTGAATGTTGTTACTGTCACTTTTGATTACTTTCATGTTTCCCTGCAGAATAAAAATATTAATTTCTTTCTTTAAAAAAAAAAGAAGTCTGCAATCTTTTGAATGGTAGTGTAAATCACATACCTATTTCTACAGTTATAAATACATAATTGTTATGCTTGTGTCCCTGCAGTGCTCTGAGAGCCTGCCTCTGCGTACGCTATCTGTTGCTCCAGGACTTTGCCAGCCTCCCAGAATTGTGGGTAAAGCTAAACACAAAGAAGTGCACTTACAATGGGGTAAGATTCTCTACATACAGTACGTAAACCCACAACATAATTAATTTCTCTTTTTCTCTATCCCTCTTTGTCCTTCCTGTACAGTACATCACACTTCTGAGAGTTTGTCATTTCTTAGCCTCTTTCATTTCATGTTTAGTTTTATGCATTTTACTCTATGCTTTTATACAAAGTGATGTACAGTGCATTCAAGGCACATTTTTGGGACAATTTTCTTGTGAATCAATCAAAGCCACAATGTTGCCAACACCATACTTTCCCAGTTACGGTATTAAGATTGTTGGTAATTTCCATTCTTCCAAGATCTCTGCCGTTTCTGATTTATTTCCGATGATGTGAAATTACATTTCACCAAGACTCTTTGTGGCATTCACCCAATGCCACAAAACCCCTTTGTCATATCCAGAAATCGCTTAAGATCAATATTTCCACCATTTTTGCTACATTTCCTCAATGTAACATTATCAACTTGCACATATTTTCCAGTACTAGACTAGAATGATGCTCTTGTAGTGCACTTGACTCACTGACTCCCTGTGCCGGAGCTATCGGTTTGGAGTTAATAGGCAAACACCCTCATTGGGGAATGAATTCTGGGTCTAATGGGAGCTCCATTGTTGAGCTGCTCATTCCAGACATTTTAAGTAAACACTTTGGATTCAGGTTTTTGAGCAAGAAACTTTGATCTGAAGTTGTAAAGCTGTAATTTGCTCTGCCTTATAAGAACCCCTTACTTTTATTATAAAATATTAAATGAAACTGTAATTCCTGCTGTTTTAATTATTTGTTGTACTGAAGTGCTTTGTCTCTGTCCTTCTTTTCAGACTGTCCCTCCTCTGAGGGGGCATGTGAGGTGAGTGAGTACAGTTTGGAAATGAGGGAGGGAGAGTCTGAGCCTGCCGAGGTCTATCACGGCTCTGATCTTGAGTGCACTGTGGGCAGTCTGCTCCCCGGCGCCACCTACAGCTTCCGCCTACGTGCTGCCAATGAGGCAGGGGTGAGTGACAAATCAAGAATCTAATATCAAGAGATTCACTGACACCTGTTGCTTAGTAACGGTGCATTGTTATAACTAGTTGCGCAAAACATGCGCAAAATATGATCGTGGTTTTGCGCAGCTTGTCAGTGAACAACGGCTCTGTGTAGTTAATGCTGCTCCATGTGAAAGCCCGCAGGTGATGGAGATTTACCACTGATTAAAGAACCAGCTTTACTAACAAGATGCACGTTAAATATCGCATGTGATTTATCGTGCAGCCCTAATCCTGACCTATCCCTACAATAATGCACCTAAGGTTCAGTCTCTTTATCGCGTTACTGGTCTAAACCAGCCAATAATTATTTGAATCCATTTGGAATTAGAGGTTTCTGAGATACTGAGATATAATAATGAGATAAAAATGACTAAAAGTTGAAATTATGACCAATATTTGTAATTATGAGATAAGTCAAAATTTAAAGAGCCCCTATTATGCCATTTTTAAGGTTCCTAATATTGTTTTGGGAGTCTCCTGCAATAGGTTTGCATGCATGCAAGGTCAAAAAACGCTTTCGTTTTCTCAAAATATGCATTTAATATGACCTCATTTTCCAACGATTCATTCGAAGCAGTTCTAAGATTCAGTCTCTCTAAACCCCTCCTTTCCATGAGCCTGCTCTGCTCTGATTGATCAGATGGCCCAGTCTGTTGTGATTGGTCTACCGCGTTCAGCGCGTGTCGGAAACGATACACCCATTGCCACAGCTCCGTATTTTGAATTTACTTTGACAGCGTAGGACACAGCGTCCTCTTTACATGATGTTAACCACATGAAGCTACAGTATTTGAGGGCGGGGTCAAGTTGTTCGTGGCCAGCCAATGTAGAACATAGGCGGGCATTATGCAAATGTGTTACCCTGTGACGTATAGCCGTGACGGAAGTGGGAATCGAATTACTGACGACTCGTTTAGGCTGTTCTGAGTCGATTCTTTCTTTTGGGAGACAATGGCCCTGTCCCAAATGGCACACTTCATGTGCATTTGCAGTCTTGCAGACTTACAATGGCCGCCACGTGCGCGTGTCCGTTAAGTCCACGAGACTGTAGGGTGTCCCATTCGTCATTTTAGCTTTCAGAAGGGTGCTCATGAGCGCCCCCTTTGTAGCCACTATGCACCCTCGATGCGCACTTCTGCCGAGCCCGCACTGAGACGAGCTCCGCGGCAGACTTCTACCCGACAGTCAAAGCGGCATTACGTCACGAAAGTGTGGACTCAGAGGAATTCTGCGAGGGTTTAGGGTGTGATTTGGGACAGGGCCAATAACTTTATTTATCGTGAACTTTCAGCTTTACAACTTTGCAGATTGTTTACATTCACATACAGCTACATTACACACTGCATTAAAAGGCAATATTCAAAATGGCATAATATAGGGCACTTTAAAGAGTCATACTTATGATATAAGTAAAAAAAAAGTAGTCAATTGTCATAAATTATTTTTTTGCCTCATATAATTTCAACTCTTCATGTCATAAATGTGACTTCTAATATCATAATGTCAACTTTATCATAATTATGACTTTTAATCCTATTATTGTGACTTTTTCAAAATTTCGGCTTTTATCTTAAAATTTCAATTTTAAATAAAATAAAATTTGGATGTTAGATCTCCTAGATTGTGTCCATTTATGTCATTATGATTCACCATAGCATGAAGGGCACTTTAAAGAGTCATACTTATGATATAAGTAAAAAAAAGTAGTCAATTGTCATAAATTATTTTTTTGCCTCATATAATTTCAACTCTTCATGTCATAAATGTGACTTCTAATGTCATAATGTCAACTTTATCATAATTATGACTTTTAATCCTATTATTGTGACTTTTTCAAAATTTCGGCTTTTATCTTAAAATTTAAATTTTAAATAAAATAAAATTTGGATGTTAGATCTCCTAGATTGTGTCCATTTATGTCATTATGATTCACCATAGCATGATTTTTTTTTCTTATGTGGCAGAAATGGGCTTCCATAGATATCTCTCCAGCTTCTCCAAGGATTTCTCTTTCTGTCAGTATGACAGTGTTTAATCCATCAGTGTTCAGGAAGGCAGAGATCAGCTCTGGCTGTCTAACTTTTTCTTTTTCGAATGAAGTATCGTTCCCTGTCTCAATTCCAGGAGTGTTAATACAGCATTCAGAGTAAACACTAGAGTCTGAGGAGTGAATTTAATCCTCTTCTCTGTTTACTTTTCATTGTTTGTGTGAGACAAATTCCCACAAGTGAAGAATCGATGTGTCTCGCATCAGATTGCAGTACTGGAGACATGCTTTGATTTCACAAGGATGTAATGCAAGATTTTGGGTCTTATTTGTTTCGGTCTTGTTTGTTTTTCATATTTTATCCTGATAGAAATAAACTTAGTTAGTTACGTATGAAACGTTTCATATCATGTATTAATTATTAATTTGCACTTCTTTCTTTCTTTCTTTTTTTCTTTCTTTTGCTCATAGTATGGGCAATATTCTGAACCAACAGAAATAACAACCGCAGCTGGTCCTCCTAGCCAGTGTGCAGCACCATCCCTCACCTTAATGTCCAATACCTGTGTGCTGGTCAGCTGGGAGGTAATTTATCATATGTAAAGCAGACCCATCATTAATAGGACATGGGTTTTACGTTAACACACTCAACAATACTGTCAGTATTGACGTTCAGATGAGCTGAAGTACCTGTTTGATTCAAACAATCAGCCAAATTATTATTTTATGCCCTGCCTCTCTCAGAGTCCAGAGAGCTCAGGGGCCGACATCTCCGAGTACCGTCTGGAGTGGGGCCGAGGGGAAGAGCCCATGGAGCTGATCTACTGCGGCCCTGACACGCAGTGTGAGATCTCAGACCTGACACCTGCTATTCATTACTACTGCAGACTACAGGTATTACTGTCACTCAAGGGTTCTTTTCATTGACAAGTGTTTTGTTGAGCCAATTTTACAAATGTCACCCTTCTTTCACTTTCATAATGCCTTTTAATTGTATTAGAAATGTCCTTTGTTTTATTTGTAATTAATAATATATAGCTAAGTCTTTTGTTACTTTCTTTTATATGATGCCGTGCCCTTGGGAGTAGGAAAGTGTACATAACTGATTAGTGCATGATGTGGTTTTATTATATTTTACAATTTATTGTGAGTCGTTCTAGTGCAGCCTGAATCCAAAATCTTTGGATAGATTTGTGTGCAATATTTATCATATTTAGCATTTACTCTTGTCTGTTTTAGCATATTTAAATGAGTAGAGTAGTAAAAGTATGACAGGAAAAGTTGAAAAGAACAGTGAAAGTTGCCGCTTCATTAACTGTATCATCTTGCGCAGTGAGGCTGTAAAAAAGTTTGAGTCATTATGCTTTAAATAAATGAGCTAGTGACAGTCATGATATTAAATGGTTTAATAAGAGGACATAATTATTATTACTGTAATCATTTTTATTTATTAGGAAATGTAGTCTAAATGCAGCTCAAAATGTTTTACCGAATCGGATTAAGATATAAAAATATATATTTATAAATATATATTTTTTAAAAATGTAGGCTGATGAACTAAAACAGATGAAGTTTCTGTTAACAAATGTCAGTTTAATCAGGAATATTTTTAACATCTTTTATTTTTTTACGTGGCATTTATCATTATTGCACAACACATTAGGGTTGTCAGTGGATTAAAATATTTAATTGTGATTAATACAATCATTTTTCATAGTGCATTAACACATTTAGCTCCTTTTAAGAGAAAGGACACTAAACAACAGGCGTATGTGTAATTATTAAGTTTGGCAATTTGTGCGGATGCCACCATACAGTGTCATCATTTGTCATTTACTGATAATTTTTTTAGAAATCACACAGAACTGAATAAACCAGTCATAGCTATGGATTAAATAAATGTGAAAAACTTTTTGACAGCTAACTTTTAACATTATTAAATATTGATTACATTTTTTGACCTTTATTGAACTTTGCCCCCTCTTTCAAGGCGGCGAATCAGGCAGGTGCAGGACCATGCAGTGATCATGTGTGCTGTCAGACCCCCGCCACCGCACCTGACCCGGTCTCAGTGTTGTGTGTACTTGAGCATGACCCCACAGAAAGTGGCGTCTACACACCTTCCACTTGCCTGGCTTTGAAATGGGACGAGCCCTGCAACAATGGAGCGGAGATCACATGCTACACTCTTAAACTGGGAGAACAGCTCATCAGCCTGGGCACCAGCACCTGCTATGTGCTACAGAACCTACAGCCTGACAGTGAATACAGGTATGTACATACGCACATTGTGACACCACCATTCTGTCCACCAGATCACATTCATCTGGTGATTTACATATGCACTTCTGCGATATGGCAAAACAGTCTTAACTAATAACTGCTTTGCTTTCCGATTCCCTCTGAGCCCAAACTGAGTCCTGCGGGGAGTAGTTACACTCCATCTCAGGTCTCATTTGCATTCTGCAAAGTTGTCCATTTCAGCGAAGCATGACGCCACAACCGCGTCACTCCCCGCTGCCTGTTTCCTCCCCCTACCCAGGAAAGCAGTGGGTAAACAGCAGCGTGTTAATGATGCTAATCGGAAGCTAATGAAAAGAGAAGGCCAGAGGGCAGAGTTTGTGTGTGTATCTACGAAGTGGCGTCCATAACAGGACATCTATCCCTGCATGGGGCCTCCACAGTGCACATATAAGTGTCTCCATCAGCCAGCTTATGCAACCCATGTTTTTGTCTGAGAGCTTTGATTATGGCCTTTAAATTAGAGATCTGCGTGGGACTGATTTTTCCAGTTTCATCCAACTTTCCTTCGGCTCCTACAGATTTGTACTCGCCGTCTACCTGCTCCCCACTTAATGATTTTCTTCCTGTCTACTCCCATTCAATTTATACCACCGTTTAAAAATATGGGGTCAGTAAGATTTATTTTTTACCAAAAGAAATTAATACTTTTATTCAGCAAGGATGCATTAAATTGAGGGGACAGAAGATTTCTATTTCAAATAAATGCTGATCTTTTGAACTTTATATTCATTAAAGAATCAATGCAGCTGTTTTTAACATTGATAATAATAATAATAAGTGTTCTTGAGCACCATATCAGCATATTAGAATGATTTCTGAAGGGTCATGTCACACTGAAAACTAGTCAAGTAATGACTGCTGAAAATTCAGCTTTACCATCAGAAGAATGAATTACATTTTAATGTATATTAACATAGACAATTGTAGTATAGACATAGAAATTGTAATAACATTTCACAATATTACAGTTTTTACTGTAATTTTGATTTTAAAAAGCTTCCATGAGCATAAGAGACTTTCAAAAACATTAAAACAATAAACAAAATCTTATTGACCCTAAACTTTTTAACTGTAGTGTAGGTCTTGTCACTTACACTTGTCACTATTTTTTCCCCAGGTGTCACAAATTCTCAATATTCTTATTAATAAAACTGAGAAAATAAACCGTGGGTGCATTTACTCCGTTTAAGCACCATAAATTTAAATCTTGAAACAAATCACTGCTTCTTAGATTTACATTAAATGCCAAATTGTACTTTTTTCGCTTAAATCTAAAGTTTTAAATGTACATTTGAACTATATGGTGGAATATTAAAGTGTTTAATAACTGATTAATCTCTGCTCTGAAAATCTGGCTTGTAAATACTCTTTCAGAAAGAGATTGGAAGCTCTCTGTAGATTAGAATTTTTTAAAATACATCTCTACAATTTTTTTTAGTGTTTTATATTTTATTTAATATTCCAGCCATGTTCAATATTCATGTGCAGGGAAGATCAGGGTTTATTTTCTAGTTATGGTTGACGTTTCCATTTCCATCTGTTGTATTTGTGTGCTGATGGACTCTTGGTTAACATTCTCAGCCACGCATCATTCCCCACAGAGTTTTGTTTTTCTGACACTGTTCGTGGAACTATACTAATGAAATAAATTTAAAAAAATCTAGCCCACGTTATTTATTTATTTGGAAGCTGAATTTCTGTATGTTCAGTATATTTAATATATCTTATTCAGACAAATGGGTTAAGTTAGTAATGTCACAAATTTGCATTGTGATCAGTGACTTTAAATAGTGAGAATCTTCAATATGTCTTAATCAGTTTACAGCATAATGTTAATTTAGTTCCAGGTTGAAGTAAAAATACGATTTTGAATCTCAGATTTCACTGTAAGTGGATCAAGACCAGATCTTTGAGCCGGGCCCGGTGTGAAGCAGACTGTATGGTCATTTGATCTCTCCTAGATCGATTATGTCTTTTGTCATCAGGGGCGTACAGACTAATGCAATCTCGTGAAAGGTTAAAGTATGTTTTGTTTTCAGTTAAATGCCAACCAAACAGTCTGGTATTGTGGAAGAGCCGCTGTTAATTCCAGTCCAGACTTCTCAACCCTCCAATTTTTTTAAACCCAGAAATTGATTTTGGTTCTATTTGATTGAATGATATGACAAGGCACAATCCTTGAATGATGGGCTCCTACACAAAGCACTTTCAGCCGACAAATATCAATTTGATTGAGCTTAGCAAGGTGAAAGTTAAGGAAGTTATTTGCATCCTCAAGTGAGCGAAACTCAGCCTGACGTGGTTTATTACTTCTTACAGTGGCAGTGAGTGAAGAGATCGACCACATCTCATTTCACATCAAGGCTGAGTCATTTGAAGCTACAAAATTCTGGTTAAAACGAGCTGTTGTTTCAAAGAGAAAAGCCAGTTTTAGTATTTAGGATTTTATAATTTTATTTTTGTTGATGGCGTGTTTGTAATAAATGCAAGTAATATCATATAATTAATATTGTATTTATGTACATATGTGTGTGTAAATGAATTATAAGAAATGTGTTTGTTTGTGTTGTGCTGTGGAAATGCTGTGAAGTGTTTCACATGGTTACCAGCAAAGCTAGGGCACATCTGTTGGCCTGTTGATAAACACATGTGAAACCCCCTTCACTCCATTGATGCATGCACATTCATATGAAGCTGCTCATATGTGTGTCATCTGCTCACCTCCTGCATGTACGAAGGGGAATGTTGTGCTTTTAAACCATGAACATGAATGAGTCTAGTATAGTGAGTCACATTAGCTCTGTTATTGATGATACCAAGTGTCTCTGTTGACATTTGTTGTGTTTTGAAAACAAATGCAAATCCGCATGCTGTAATGTTGCAGTGCAGTTGCTTTACAATATACAGTTCAGCGGTGACATGAAGTAAACAAGTTGCTTGGCTTTCTCTCTTTTGGAAGCAACAGAAGTGCCTGATTGTTTAGCTGTTCTGAACTGCCATGGTCAAATTTGTAGCCATCATGTCTTTAAAGACTCAGCGCTGTTCTTCTGAAAAGAATGGCTACTCAATTTAATGGCGTTAAAAGTGTAGTAAAGCTACATTTTTTTGTAGTTAACTGCACTATAAGTTACTATTAAAAATGTAAAACTACATTGAAGATACTGAAGGGAGCAGTATATTTTTAATTATATCATTAAACTGATTGTATGATTTATTTAATAATCACATTTTATGTGGCACTAAAATAATTTTTCTGAACGCTGTTAGTTGTATTTAGTGAAAAATGTGAATAATTAAAAGCACACTAATACACTAAAACTGAATCTAAATGTATTAATAAAAAGATTAGGTTAATCAAAATATTTGTGTGTTCTACAAAAAAAATGCTTCATGTTTCAAAATGCTTCTAGGAACATTATTACGTTTTTTGTGTTGTTTTGTTGTTGTTTTTATTCCCTGAGATGAGTCAGACTTCCCAAATGCTACTGAGTGAGGAGTTCTAGGAAAATGTGTTTGATTATTGTCTCTGCTCACTCAAAGCTGGCAATACAATGTGTTGTTGAAAGGTTTTGATGAAGGAGCAAGTTTATCAGGAATTATGTTCTTAATGAGTTATTGATTTAAGCCTCAAAGCTACTTTGTCTCAATCAGGAGGTCTTGTGGTAAAGGTCAGGTAAAGTCTGTCGTACTGATCCTTAAAGCTTGAAAAAAACATAATATGTAATTTTATAGTACCCAAACTGAAATATTTCTTTTGAGGAATAAGGAAGAATTTCATACTGAGCCCATCAATCATACTGCTCTGTGTTATTACTCGCTGTCTGATGGTAGTCAAAGGTTTTTGGTGTCAGGTTTTTCTTTCTATATATCATGTAGGAGTGACCAAAATCTTATTTACCATTAATGTGATATAAAATTACTGTATACAGTATCATGATATTTTTAGAGGAAATTCAGCAAAAATATCTATGTGATAATGCCTGTTTTTATAATCCAGTAAGTTAAATACTTACATAATGTAAGGCGGTCCTGCTCACTGATAGCAGCACAAACATAAATGCTGTATCTCTAGCGGTTTACACATTTCTAGCTCTGCACCATATACAGATCAAATCACCCAGCCCTAAGGATCACCTGATGTACAAGGTTTAAATGAGACTCTCTGTGCTGTGTCAGTCTGCAGATTCAGGCAGTGAATGAGATTGGTGCCGGTCCCCTCTGCCCTCCCCTGCTGGCCCGCACCAGGCCGCTGCCCCCTGTCCCGCCCCGGCTAGAGTGCACTGCCGCTGGACCCCAGAGCCTCAAACTCAAGTGGGGAGACAGCAGCAATGCCAAGAGCCTGCTTGGAGAAGAGATGGTCTTCAACTTGCAGATGGAGGACAAGAACAGAAGGTCACTTCATCTCAATTACACCTCATAAATGGCAGTAGATGCACCGCTAAGAGGGAAATTGAATTCATTTTGAAAGCGCACTGAGGAATGATGTAATTTAGTCAAGGTGAACTGCCATTAGATGACAGCAATTTTTTGCCATTATATACTTCTATTTTGAAACATTTTAGCTTGTATTGTGTTTGTTTTTTTAGCTCAACAACTGAAAGCTTTCGAGGTGTAATTAATGTTATAGGTCTTTAGGCCTTACTATTATAGACATGCCTGTAGATCGGCCAGGCCACTACATTTTTAACCTCCCCGAGTTTCAGTTTGCCTCACATCCTAATTTAATTGTAACTGTTGATTGTTTTCCTTGGCAGAGTGGCATTTTGACAGTATTTGTGAGCGGCAACAGGCCTGACTGATGGGCATTTAATAGAAAATATAATGAATTCCCCAATTCCCAGAAAAAAAACCTTTTAGTGTTAGACTGGTTAATTTTCTAATTATTCTAATTATCCTCTTTAGTCAGTAACAGTTTTTCAAAAAGGGGAGAGGTGATAAAAATATTAATCTTTACCAAACCTGCACCAGGGGTATATACAGTTTATATATACTCTAATTCTAACTTTATATAGTTTATATATAAACTCTTTGTAAAGTTTGGAGTCGGTATGATTTTTTACAATTATTTTTTAATATTTGAACAGAAGTCTCTTATGCTCACCAAGGCTGTATTTATTTGTTTAAAAATGCATAAAACTGTAATATTGTGAAATATTATTACAGTTAAAAATAACTGTTTTCTATTTTAATTTATTTTAAAATGTTATTTATTCGTGTGATGGCAAAGCTGAATCTCAGCAGTAATTGCTCTAGTCTTCAGTGTCACATGATCCTTCAGAAATCATTCTAATGTGCTGATTTGCTGCTCAAGAAAGATTTCTTATTTTTCGCAATACTGAAAACAGTTGTGCTGCTTAATGTATAACTTTTTTCAGGATTTTAATTAATTGAATGCGTCCTTTCTGAATAAAAGTATTACTTAAAAAAAAAAAAAGTGACTTTTGATGGTGTAAAAAAAAATTGGAAGGTGTAGTTTTCAGTCAAATTATTTTGATTTCAAAATGTTGTTCAGATACTTGTTGGGGCCCCTGTATTTTCATACCAGATGTTAACTTTTATGATGTTATTAAGGCTTTTCTTGTATCTTATTCAAGACTGGAAGTTGCAAAATGAAACGTCATAATCATAAACAGAGGGCTATCAACTGGTAGCATAATGTCCCCATGAATTTGTGTTAGTCCTGATCAAATTACAGCAATATGCATATTTATTAAAGGCCTAAGATCCAATTGCCATCATCGGTGTGCATTAGAGTGAATTTTGTTATTTATTTATTTTTTATTAGTATTTATGATGTTAACAATGATTGATTCAGCTGCTTAATCAAAATTAAATGCCATCTGTACAATCGGGCGAGACTAGATTCAGCATGGCTCTGAAATGGACTCGTAATCGTTCTGCTATTACACATTTTATTTCTGGTCAGATTGCCATAGTAACCGCAGATGTACTATCCATCAAACCAACAATAGCAGCTATTGTATTAGAGCACTTTTCTGTGGACTCCTCCTCTTGTTCTTGTTTTCTTACTTTTTGAAAAATCCTTTTTTTCTGGAGTTCATTTTATAATTCAGTAGGTGATCTGTTACTGCGTGTCGGAGCTGGACCTGTACAAAAGACTGCTTAGTACATATGCACAGAAAAGAAGTATCAATCCAAGCCAGCATTCCAACACAGACTTGGATGAAAAGAACATGAATAGGATAGTTTGACAGGCTATAGTGAGAATATAAAGTATGAACTGCAGGTCAATGGTCCGTTACCTTCATCTCATTAGTCGAGCTGGCAGGGTTTTTTTGAGATTGGCAAAATATCTCTGGAAGCAGTCATTAAATAGCAGCTGCTGCTTTGTTCTCTGTTTGTCCTGAGGTGTTTGTGTATAGACTGATGCTGTTGTGCTAGGATGGGACATGGCATGAGGATACCAAGAGCCCACTGCCAATACCAGAAATCTGCACCTAATTTATTGTAATTGAGACCAAAAAAAGTTAAATTAAAATTGTGAAGTCTGGGGCTGCTTTACAATGTCATTATGTCCTTTGTTTGTGTTAGAAACACACAAATGGGCATAAAACAGCATTCTTTAACATAAAATATTAAGCAGCGCAACTGTCTTCAACACTGATGATAATAAAAAAAAAATTTAAAATCTTGAGCACCAAATCAGCATATTAGAAGGATTTCTGAAGGATCACGTGACACTGAAGACTAGAGTAATGATGCTGAAAATTCAGCTTTGCCATCACAGGAATAAACTATATATATATATATATATAGATAGATAGATATAGATATATAGATAGATATACTGTTTTTACTGGGTTGATCAAATAAATGCAGTCTTAATTGGGCACAAGACAGTTCAGTAAAAAAAAACTTATCAACCCTAAACTTTTGGTTTGTGCCCAGTTACACACCAATAACATAAATGAAATGTTTGTTTTAGGTTTGTCACAATCTACAGAGGCCCAAGCCACACATATAAGGTACAGAGACTAAATGAGTCGAGCAGCTACTGTCTCAGGATTCAAGCTGTGAGCGAGGCAGGAGAGGGCCTTTTCTCTGAAGTACACGCCTTCCATACGACCAAGTCTGTTCCTCCTGCTCTCAAGGGTAGAGTATATATGTACAAGAATACTTGCACACTGCTTCATGCCACATATGTGTTCATGTACTGAATGGGCACTTATTTGATGCTTATACAGCTAAACTTGTGTATTATCTTTTAGCTCCTAAAGTGGTACAGATGGAAGGGAATGTGTGTGAGTTGAGCTGGGAGAGCATTCCACCAATGAGAGGAGACCCCATCTTCTACATCCTACAGGTGCTGGTGGGCCGAGAGTCTGATTACAAACAGGTGAGATTGCATTTTTCATTTCTGAATTGTCTGTACTGGAGATTATGGCTATCAATCAGCCAGTGATTAATCTCATAACTTTTATAATTTATCTAAACACTTTAACACATTCAGTTCATTTCTACAGGAAAAAAAGTGAATTTTATTAATTTGCACTGCATTGCATTCATAGTAAAATGTATATATTACAACACAGGACGGAGATATCTTATGCAGCAGTGCTCTTTAGTCATCTCATTTGCATAAAAACACATGCTCTATATTTCTATGAAAATGTCATTAGAATTGTGTTACATATAATTCAATAGTCCTTTTAGATCATTTTTAAAATTGGATTTCGTTTGAAACAACTATTTAGTTTGTATTGCAGAATATTAAAGGAATAGTTCACCTAAAAATGAACATTTGCTGAAAATGTACTCACCCTCAGGCCATACAGATGTAGATGAGTTTGCTTTTTCATCGGAACAGATTAGGAGAAATTTCCTCCATTCTGCAGTGAATGGGTGCCGTCAGAATGAGAGTTTAAACAGCTGATAAAAACATCACAAGTAATCCACATGACTACAGTCCATTAATTAATGTCATGTAAAGTGAAAAGCTGTGTGTTTGTAAGAAACAAATCCATCATTAAGACATTTTTTTCCCCTTCAAATCATTGCCTCCGGCTAAAGCACAAGTCCTCTATACATAATATTGCTTCTTTTAGTGAATAAGTTGTCTTCTGAATTTAGGAGAGAAATATGCACCGAGTTTACAAGCGCAAACAGTCCAAAAACAACTCTAAACAAATATGTTGGTGGATTTTGATGCGAGAAAAAAAAAGGGGAAGAACTTTTTCACTGAAGGAATCATGCTCACCAATAGAGCATGATGCTAAATTGATCCAAATCTGTTCCCATGAAGAAACAAATTCATCTACAGTATATTTTGGTTGGCCTGAGGGTGAGTAAATTATCAGCAAATTTTGGGTGAACAATTCCTTTAACAGTTTTGGGTCATTTGTGATTATTACAATTTTTTTTATTTCATTTTAACTTACATTTTTATGAATATATCCACACCTGTAGGTAGAACAGAAAATGCATGAAGTTTCTTGCAAGTCTTTGCAGTGCATTGTTATTCAAGGAAAGGGAAAAGATCGAGATGTCATCCGCACAGACTAAGTCTGAGATAGAAGCAGGATGATGGGTCTGTGTCCTCTGCCTGAGACGATTAGTATTCTGCAAATGATGTTGATGCCACTGCTGATGGCTTGATAGAGACCAACACCCAGCTCATCTATCATACTTCATTCAATGGAAGGAAACAACAGCATTCATTTAAAAATGTCCTTTAATCTATTTCAGGTTATTTTACATTCATGGTTGTTGTGATTTGGAGAAATTCCAGTTATACAGGAAAACAGCATACAGTTCTACTCATAGGTTTAGCCTGATGAAACTACTGAGCATAACAGATATATTTATACATATCCTGTAATAACTTTACACAAAAATGTCCTAAATATTCTGAAATTTACGTATCATTGTCCTTAACATTGTGACCTGGCTTTTTAAGAATCAGTGACTTGGTTTGTCTCAGAGAGAGGATTATTATCATTCACTGCACAAGTGACATTATTTCACACATTTTTGTCAGTTCGGTTACAAATGTGCCGTCATTTTTTGCATTTAATGGCCAAATCAGTACATCAGCCTGTGAATCATAAATCCACTGGCTGGTTGTGAAGGCCGCAAAGTCTCTCTAGGGATCTGTCCAGAGCAAGCCAATCAGATCCCTTCCTCCACAGGGATATTTTTCTGTTAGGTGCAAGACTGCTGCTGCTCTGATGTCTAATGTAGCTGGCATGGTTCCTATTACTGTGTTAATGTGTTCCTTGTCCTGTGAGCTGTTAAAATGGATGTGAGAAGTGACGAGTGTGTTGTTTGCATGTAAAGAGAAGCAAGGGTTTAATGGCAGCAGATGCCATCTTCTGTTTGCTCTGGTTCTAGGGTGTCTGTGTGAACTCGTAACTCCATTTTGCCATCTTATTCCACTCTAGAAACATGTAAAAGTAAAAGCACAAATCCTCTGCATCTCAGATCGTTTTCACCCAGATACTGCATGTTAAACGTACATTAATGAATGAAAATTGTTTATGTAAGCAGATGCAGATATCAAACATCGTTTAATATTCAGGTTAGTTGCAATTTTGGAGTAATTGTATTTATGGTTAATTCTACAAAACCATTTTTTTTTCTAAATCCAACACTCTTTTTCCTCTATATAAATAAAAAATAAAACACAAAACACTTAAATCAACTGTTCTAAATGCTACAAGTGAATTTAGGCGTCACTGCATTATAATGTACAGGATGAAAAATGACTATTCAGTTTGAGATATGCTGGATTAACAGTTTTATTAATTTTAATAATAATTGCAATTTTAATCTATTAAATTAGATTAATGTTATATTAATAGATAACAGTAATTGTAAAATAAATGTACACATAAAGTAAATGAGCATGAATAATTAAACAGTATTCAGTATATCCAGTATTGTATTGAAAACACAGAAGCTAAGTGATACAAATAGTGAAGCCTTCCTATGTTGTTATATGAAATGTTATCATTCATGGACCGGAATAAACTGTTGTGTTTTATTTTATTTTTATTTTTGTTCTATTAGATTCAGCTTGTTTGAAGTTGTATTTTGTCTGCTCATAAGTAATTGCTGTCTCAGTTTTACATGCTCTTCTGAACTCAAATGGCATCTGTTTCATTCCTCTCTGCAAATGGAAAAATGAAATAGTAGCTGTCAAAAAGGGGTTGCCAGAAACAACTTGCATTAAGTTGATCTTTTTTAATGCATTATACTGCTGAAAGGGACAGTTTCCAAATGTATTTGCTTAGCTTATGTATTTCTTTGATACATTAGTGTTTTTTCTTTGGACATAAAAAGTAGCCTGAGTCTGGTGTGCACTGTAAGCGGAATTTCTTCTTTTCCGCACTCAAATCAAATGTTTAGTCCTCTCTGGACCTTTTGTACAGGCAATAGGTATTTGGAGGGGAAAGAAAAATTCTCAGTGCAACTTTTCTAAACCGATCGTGCCGTGGCACTTTATCCATGCATCTGGAATAAACAATGAAGGTCTTAATGTTTAACTCCTGGCTTCGCTGTGCTATTAGAGCTGCATTGTGATATGAAGCTCAGGCACGTTTTGGCTTAGAGTCACTTTTCTCTGTTTCATTTGTGTCAACAAAAGAAAAGTGTGCATCATCTTAGCCTGGAATAAGGGAGGTTGCAAATTGTGGGATGCTTTTCATTGAAATTGAACAGCTGTTGTTCGGCAGTCAAAAGCAGCCACATGTGAAAAGCCCCATCCATAGGAAGTGCTCTGTGTTATATCGATTAAAATGGACTTTTCTTCCCACACACGACCTATTCTGCATTTTAATTAAACTTCCATGATGTTTATTGAACGTTTCTTGTTAGTAACAACAAATCATGCATGCAATGTAATTAGGTTTGTTTTCCTGCTGAAAAGCATCTTTTCTGTTCAGTTTTCTTATCTAGACTCTTTTTCCTACCATTTGTCAGCACTACAGGATATGAAAGCTCTGGCTTACATTAGGAATGCACCCTACTGACCACTCTCTGTGATATTGAGATATAGCAAGACAGTAAATAATCCATCCAAAGCCTTCCCTATGCTCTACTTTAATAAATGTTGAGATGTCCTTATCCTAATATACTTTTTTTGAACTAAACTTTAACCTGGTAGATTGAATTACATTTGAAAGCAATGAAAGCAATTACATTTATTTGTATTATATCCTAGTAGTAGTTATAATAGTAGTAATTATACCATTAACCATCATATTTATTATCATTAAATGCAAATGCTTGAGCAAAAATTCTAACTTCAAATTTATTTAATTTATTTATTTAAATAATATTTACTAATATTTTTTACAATTGCATTTGTTTATTATTAGTATTATTGGTGTTAATAACATTAATAATTATTTGTTGTTATACTGTATATTAATAGTAATCATCATTATTAAACAATAAGCAGTGCTATTTTAGTTATTGAGATACTATTATTATATTATTACTACCATACTACTATTATATTAATATATATGTTAAAGTTTTTGTAATTTTGCTGTGTGTTTGTTCATTTTTATTACTTTATGTCTATGTAGTTTCTTGGGGATAAACTGACTTTTTATATTTTATTTCATTTAACATTTATTCAAGTAACATCTTTTTTTCATTTTTTACTTTTAGTTTGTTTACTTTTTGTTTGTTTAGCTAAATATAATAACCCTGATAACAAGAGCTTCTCATTTCTGCTTTTAAACCACAGAAACAGTGGCCTTCATAGTTTACATCATTTGAAAATGTTGAAATTATAACTGAAATTATTTTCTGCGGTCATCAACATACTGCCATAGATGCAATGAGCTGAGATTGTGTTGACCACGGAACATAAACAATTCCTGATGGTGTCCAGTTGGACATTGTAGAATGTTTTACTTAGTTTGAGAACGTAAAGCTGTATTTTTCTCTCTCTTTTAGTTATATAAGGGAGAAAACGCAACCTTCCAGATGTCTGGCCTGCAGAACAACACAGACTATCGCTTCCGTGTGTACGTGTGTCGCCGGTGTCAGGACAGCACGCAGGAGCTGTGCGGCCCACTCAGCCCATCCTCGCTCTTCACCCTGCGGCGTACGGAGCTCGCACTACCCGGAGAGCTCAACTCTGCCGAGACCCTGAAGCCCAGCGGCATGTTCGCCACAGATGAACGCTTCGCGGCGGTCTTAGTCGGGGCTTTCGCGGCCCTGTCTTTCCTCATCGCTTTTGTGGTGGAATACTTCTTCATGAAGTGAAGATCGAAAGGAACTCAGAAACAGCAGCCAGCCAAGGAAAAAAACGTTTCGAGAAACACGAACACTTAAAGTATACATCCGACGCGATGTACTGTAGGCTGAGTAGGTTATGCAGGCTCTCTTCTTGTCTTTCATCCTCTTTTCTCTCGCTCTCTGATGCCTTCCAGCCTGCCTGTGCATCGCTGTGTCGCTCACTCTTTTACAGCGTGGGGATTTTGCTCTGAACTCCTGGGGGAAGCAAAACCACATCATCAAGCCTTACGAAGAGTTGCGCGACGACCTGTTTTTGCATGCTTCGTTTTTTGTATCCCTTTAAGTGTAACGTTACGTATATGTTGGGAGAAAAATTTATTGGTATTTTCTCCGCATTCATGGCCTTACATTGTTTATCCAAGTGTGCTCCACAGCATTTGTTTCACAGCCATATATACGAGTTGTTGGAATAGCTTTATCATGATGTAATACCCACGATCAGTGCCGTTTTTTTTTATACATAATCACGTGATGTTCACAGTTTGTACGTCACAGTACGCATCACCACCATCCTTCTCAGAAACATGAAATACTGTTACCGTAGTAAGGCTGTTGTAAAGCCCCCTGCATTTAAGCTGCCAAAGCAAGTTGCTATCCAAGTGTGGTTTAAGTGATGCTGCTATTGTGTGTTTATTTTTCCTACGAACGGAATCAGTTATGTAATATATATAAATATAAATCTATAAGATTCTATTGAGCTATTGTAATATAAGTAGCAATGAGTTTGAAGTAGATCTCTCTTTTGGAGTGTGTCAGTTCACAATCTATGGTGCTTGATCTGTGGTCAGTAGTGGTGGCGGACGAGGGTGAGGGAAGTTAGACGTGCCACGCGTTCGGTAACAACGCCCTTTGCCACCACACACCCTCTTTCTCTGGCCATCTAGTCCTGAGGTGCAGTGACACAGGGCTACTTCCTCGCCTTCCTGCCCCCCGAATGACTTTGGCTAGACTAACGTCGCCCTCTCAGACTGACTTTGGGCTCTGTGTGGTTTCTGTAGATCCAGGGACCAGCTGATGGCTGGAGTCACAATAGCCAGTGCGTAACTGTGAAACCGAAATAGCCTGTTTCGTCACTCTGTGAATGGCGTTGGTCCTCGGGACTTCGCCCGTCGTGTTCTGTCTGCGGCCCTTACGTGTCAACGCGTTGAATGTTTCATCATCTTTGAACCCGTGAAAGCCAGTTGGACATTTCTAAGGTGCTTTATCAAGGTTATTGTCAAAAGCAGCAGTGGATTCCTCCACCCGCTGCGCCATGCCAAAACAGCCTGATGTGCTTGCAGTGCATCTTTAGCCAAGTAAAAGGTACAAACCAGCAGTTCCCATCGATCCAAAGAGTTTCTCCCACCTTACACTTGCAGAACAGTTAGGGGGTGTCTAAAAAGGAGAACTACATGGGGAAGGGTTTCTTCCCCTTTACTGACGGCCTGTATTGTACCTCAGGGACATGGACTTTTCAGAGGTGAAGAAGTAGATACTATGTTTCTGAGAGGGTGCTGCGAAAACACTAAACGTTGCCGAATGATTCCGTTGTATCTGCCTCTGCAGTTTTAAATGCATTTATTTGATCTGTTTTCTCACCTAAGCTGTGCCTTGCTCCAGTTGTTCGTAAGCAAAATAGTTTACTAGCTCAGAATACCTTTGCCAAAGTTAATGGGAAAGTAAGGATATATAGTATGACAACTAACAGAAACGAAGCACTTTTTAAAGCAAAATATTAATCTTTATTAGATTTATCTTGATGAAACTGTATTTCCTAGTCATTGTTGCTATTGCTTTCAAATCGAGAGTATCATGCCGTTAGAAATGTCTGTAAAACTGGCCCACACATGTTTAGTGAAAAGTCTGGAAGTCCATTGGCGTCCTTTTAATGTTAGTGAATTATTATTATTTTTTTTTTGCCCATTGTATAAGTAGTGTTTGGTCCTAATCGGCAATCCAATTTTTATTTGTTTTCATATTGGTCCTTGTAAAATTTCAAAAGAACACAACTTTTTTTGTGGCCCAAGTACAATTTTGTATTTTTATATTGTTTTTTTTTTTTCTGTTTTATTTGTGCTCTGTTTTAAATATGAAAATGAATTTGAACATGATGTTTGGAGATCGATCAGCTCTCAGTCATCCCAGAGAAATGTATAGAACCATAAGTGTATTCAACTATTTTCCCAAAAATATTTATGTATTTTTACCTCACAGTTTAAAGAGAAAAAAAAGAAAAGGAAAGATATATTAAACATTCCAGGCTTGTCATGATCTACGATTTTTAAAGTCATACATTTTTCTCGTATTGTAAATGTTAGACAATTTCTTATGCATATATATAAAAGAAACTGCCATATCAATGTTAATGTATAGATTTTTGCAAATACTACCCTATGTATGGTAAGACTTAACTGTATCTGTAGCGTGTATGTAATATATTTATACCCAATAAATGTTTAAATTTTTTCTGACAGATTGTATTTTGTACTGGAGATACAAATCTTTCATAAATAAGTTATAGCTTATGATTGAAGTCACTCACTGGTTCTTGTCTGTTGCATGCCATGATGAATATGAAAGCCCTTGCAGTGAGTACAAATACTGATCATCTAGCACAATATTTTACATTGCTAATGAAAACTTGTAATACAAAAAATGTTTGCAATTATCAATGTAATCAATCAACTGGGTAAGTAAGGTGATAACTATTAGTTAATATTTTTACCCTATTCACCTGCAGTGTCTCGCCTTAAAATCTGACTTTTATTAGCCTGTACTTTTAATGCAAGAGTCTTTTAATTGAAATCGATAATTAAAAACCTTTTGTCCAGCTATGGTGCGCATTTATTTGAAACTGACCTGTAATTGACACTTTGAAGAGTGTTTACACTCCCCCTCTCCATCAGGGTTTTGTTTTTTTTCTTTTTTATATATTTTATGGTAAGGGAAGGCAGGAGTGGCGAGTGTGAATGGACAATCTCATTTTGCAGCATCGCCTTCTGCCTCGTAAGGAGATCTGACTGATTTATGAAACTGTTCTCCTCTTTAATTCTCTTTCTCTCCAGTCTGGAGGCCCTGACCTTCGTTTGACATCAATAAAACACCAACAGTCAGACTTTGCACATGGACACAGGGCAGAAGAAAGCTGGATTTGTAACAAGATTTGATGAAACCGAAACTCCACTGATCCTGATGAAGAATGGGAGCATCTCAAATGAACATCACATTACTTTTCACTTATTATTTAAAGCCCATTATAGTTTCTGTAAATTACCACATAGTCATAGATTTAATTATTATTCCAGCTGTCTGTCCACCTGTTGGTAATATGGATAGATTTCAGTCTTACAGGACAACCATAAAAAAAAATAGAAGAAATAGATCAGAACTATATATATTACATTCCAGGTTCTGTAAGAACTTGTAAGCAGTGTAATCAATGATGGTTATACTTCACACTCTGTGATTGCAGAAGTAAATGATTGGCAAATACTTAGATAAATATAGCCACAGGTGACAATAAAAAGGAGCTGGAATAAAACTGCAATTGGCAAACTGGCAGAACAGAGGAGTGTTTTACAAGAAAATACTATTTTAGTACTATTTTACTGCTTCACGTTTAATTCACTGTTACTTGAAGTTTCTTTGTAATTGTGAAATTTACTAGCAATTTTTGAGGTAAAATTTCTACACTCATTTTTTTAGCGTACCATCAAAACCAACATTCACAAAAGAAAACCTCCAACACAACAGATATCCAATGGAACATGGGTATATTTACATAGTTTGCAATATACAAATAATAAAGTTTCTATACTGTACATCATTTAGAACACAAGACACATGCAGTTTCTACAACAGATACTACTGGATGTAAGAGGACTTGTTAACGTACAAATATACCGTCACAACGTTTATTGCAGTGGTTTTAAATGAAACTCTTCTGTATAACTGGGTAAGTCAGTACCAATAGTTTATACATTTAGCACATGAAACACAGAACAAAAAAAGCAAGCTTTTACTTAAATGCACTAATGCAATTTTGACTTTTATGTTTCTTTGTTTTTAATTAACTTTCCTCAAAAGTTTTGAATTCTGTGTATTGCTTCAGGTCTGGAGCAGAGCCTTATAAACACACACAAAGAAAGTGACAACACTTGCTAAGAGAGCATGACAAGCATTCAGGCACAATGCAAATGAACGGCATCACCTCTGCAGTCCCTGTCGTCGGGTGCAAAAGGTTGCTGTATCTACAGTGATAAATTTGTCTTCCAGATTTCATTTAGACTTAAGGCAACTGAAGTCCTCTCCCTTTTTATCTCTTTATTTACAAGCTCATTTTTTATAAAACATCAAGGCATCTAATGAAATGTTGAGCTTGGATGGACGAATGGCCGTTAAAGAACTGAATCTTTCCAAACTACTCCCTGATCTGTCAGAAATTGTATGAGATATGGATGTGGATGTTTAGTCTAATTAGGGAACTATCATCTTACAACACAGTGGCAGCAGTAGATGAGGTCTGAAATGGCTGTTAATGGTAAAGACAGTCTTTCACAGTCACAGGCTGGCAGTGGATTCCGTCCAGCACGGGGAACTCTCTCCTTTGACCACTGATGTGCTTCTTCGTGGGGTATGACGCAGTCCGAAAAGTTTGCAAGCTGCCATCCTGTACTTCTTGGACATGATGTTGTACAGAATAGGGTTGATTGCTGCACTCAGGTAAAAGAGTACAAAGGAGATGAGATTACAGTACTGGCTGATGATGGACATGACAGGAGAGCCCATCTCTGTGGATTTGGAGATCAGGTAACGTCCAACATGAAAGGGAAGCCAGCAGAGCACGAAGGCAAACACCACCACAGCTGTTAGAGAGAGGAAATGAAAGTAACTGAATGGTGAAATAGCGTTTCCTCACCTTGTTGCAGAAAGCAAATATTATTAGCAAGAAAAAAACATTATTAGTCATGCACAAATACCACATTAAGAAACATCAAAAGAGACTCTTTAACACGCGTGTGAACAGAAAGCTCACTTTTTTTTTCTGTGATTATAAGCATTTTCTTAACATTCAATTTTGTAAATTTAAAGTGAATTTTATTTTAAAGAATGTTTAAGTAATAAAAATATGTATTTTTGTAGATTTTAGTGGACATATTTTATAAAGAAGTTTTGTGTCAACTGTTACAACTCTCCCTTATTAAAATGATGTACATTTTCATTAATAATAATAATAAAAATATTACATCACCCTTTCAGAACACAAAAGGACAAGTGTCCTTTTTTTATCACTTATCTTAGTTTGTTCTTAAAGTACAATTATAATTATTCACACCTGCTCCCTTGATTTTGTATAATAAAGAACTACTTCACGAAAACTGTATATATCAGTATTCTATTCTCCTTCCAATAAACACACTGTACTGTATGACCTGGAGCGCACACACAAACACACACACACACACACACACACATATATATATATATATATATAGCTTGATATTTCAAATGGTCACTTAAAGAGATCCAGTAGAAAGTTTCAATTCTTATGTTAAATGATATTAAAAATAACGTTTTAAATAACACATTTTTCCTTAAATAAAATAATTTAATTTAGTTGTTACCACATAAAGTACTTTTTTAGCTTCCATACCAAAACAATTTTAGTGTATGCAGGACTGTACTGCTGTTTTGTGCAGAGCGCATCCCGTGCGTAATGGGTGCGCTTGTGCGTAAAGTGCGCAAATGATAAACAACTTAATCGCGGTTACCTGATACTGTGGTGAAACCGGGCACTTACCCAGCATTTTCACTGTCTGTCTATTGTTTTTATCACGACTCGAAGCGTTTTCCCCAATCGTCTCCCTCTTTCTCTTCCAGAGCTTTCGCCCGATGAGACCATACAGAACAGTTAAGCAGAACACAGGCAAGAAGAAAAATATGCTGGAGACCCAAACCATAATGGTTAAGAGCCCAGACCTAATGGCATATTCCGTTGCTTTGCATTCGTTAGTATCCCACGAGTTTGTCCCATTTTCATGCTCAACCCCGACGAGCACAAATACAGGTCCTGCACTAAAGAAGGATACTACCCAGAGGACCAAAATGACCCCGCGCACGCGACCCTTTGTCACGACTACCTTTGCCCTAAGAGGAAAACAAATAGCAAAGTATCTCTCCACACTGAGAGCAGTGATGTTCAGAATGGTCGAGTACGTGCAACACTCGCTCACAAACTGAAAGAGTTTACAAAGTATGTTGCCGAAATTCCAAGGTCGGTACCTCCAGATTCTGTACAAGTCCAAAGGCATGCAGAGAAAAATGAGTAAATCCGAAAAGGCCATGCTGGACAGGTACAAGTTAGTGGTGGTTCGCATGTCCTTGTATTTTGTCACCACCAAAATGGTCATGAGATTCCCCGTTACACCTACAAAGAAGAAGAGCACGCAGGTGACGGTGACCCCGGTTAGAACTGGAATGGGGAAAATGTTGACCGGGTGCTCGAATCCCCAGTATGTCGCGTTATCATCCCAACTGCAGTTGAAGGAACAGTTGGACCGGTTCGTCCAGGTAGGCATGCTGAGAGATCATGGAGCGTCTAGATTCTCCTGTGAGAGAGAGCTCGGGGAGGACAGTCTCCCCACCGACTCCCCATCGTGCTGCGCGCAGGGCTGCCCAACATTTATAATTTAACGTATACAGCCTGTACCGCAGGATGCGAATTGTGGTAGTTTTGGAGGGTCTGACCTTCCTAATACGGCTTGAAGCCCCCTACAAGTCGTCAAAATGATAATATATCTTCCAAGTAGGCCTATGTTCTTTTATATATACACACTATATGTTTCAAAAGCGTTTTCTAACAACTTTTCAGAAACCACAAAAGACACATTAGCGCGCGAAATAAAAGTTCGCTAACAGAAGTCGCGTCCGCCTGTGAAAGTAACCATGGCAACACTAATCCGCTCTCTCCATTCGGTATTGCGCGTGAAAACGACAAAACTGCCATTGTTTAATCTAGGGTTACATATAACAAATATACTCACACAAATGTTATTGTTTTAAAAGTCTTTATGATACTTGACGGCTAACTTTGACAGAGAATTGCCGACAGAAATTCCTTTAAAAAGTCGACTCCTCTGAAGGTCATTCAGTATTTCGCACCCTGTTGTACTCTACAGATGTGTAGTTGTCAAATAAATGTCCTCATGACACATCCTCCATACCCATCCGTTCCACGTCTAAAAATGGTTCCAGCTGATAGGAAAATTCCACATTGGACAGAAAATCGTTAGTCTTGAAGTTATTTAAGGCATCTTTGGTCTAGGAAGAAAGGTAAGTGTACAAGGTGAGAGATGAAATCACTTCGCGGAGGATGAGAGACGCGCGTGATGAGCGATGCCTGTCAGCTGCGAATGACTCTTTCATTAATGATGCCTTTGATTCATCATTGAGCAAGTGGATGCGAAATGTGGGTAGGGCGTGTCGTAAGAGGTAGGAAAACGTAATTTAAAAGACAAAAGTAGGGAACGTAATGAAGATGGCTACTTGTTGAACACTGCCATCGTGGGGTGACAGGATAGAATGCAGTCTAACACATTCTTGTAAAAAAAAACATTTCTAATAGACGGCATACCAAAACATCAATCTGACTAAAATATATATCTCTGGAATAAGGGGTTATCATAAAAATGAAAAAGACGTGAAGTGCGCTTTAAATTGGAGAGAGAGAGAGAGAGAGAGAGAGAGAGAGAGAGAG